TAATAACTCGGTGAAAAAAAAATCGTACGACGCTCAACAAAAAAGCAAATTAAAGAGAAAGATTCATTCTTTTGAAAGCTGTAAACCCTGTTTATGTGTGATTTTTATTTCACGCCATGGAACTTGTCAAAGTTTGTAGAAAATTTTGAGATTCGTCGGGTCTCCCTTTCTATCCGTGTAATTCCATGAAAGATCAGTAGGATCGTTTTCTTAAGTATCAATTTGGAAAGTACAGATTTCAAGCTGTAAAATGCTTTTTTGATCATCTCGATACGATCATTTTTGACGAAGTTACACTTTCTTGAATTTTGCCTATTTTTGGATGGTAGAGTAAGATGATCTTTTATTTTTGGCATATGTATTCTATAATTTTAAACTAGACAAGCTTTAAATGAGTGTAACTTCGTCAAAAATGATCGTATCGAGATGTTCAAAAAAGCATTTTACAGCTTGAAATCTCTACTTTTCAGATCGACACTTTAGAAAAGAATCCTATTTATTTTTTATGGAATTACATAGGTCCAAATGAAAATGCGTCAAATCTCCAAAAATGTGTACTAAATTTAAAAGGTTTCACGGCATAAACTAAAAATCGCACACAAATGCAGTTTACTGCTTTCGAAAGAGTGAATCTTTACCTTTAATTTGCTTTTTTGTTGAGCGTTGTACGATTTTTTTTCACCGAGTTATTCAACATTGAAGCAAAAAGGACCATTTTTGCTTTAATGTTGAATAACTCAATAAAAAATAAATCGCACAATGATCGAGTTTGCAAATTAAAGGTAAAGACGCGTTGAACGCTGTAAGTTGCATTTGTATGCAATTTTTAATTTGGATTATGGAACCTTGCGAAGTTTGGAGAAAATTTTAATATTTGGCAGATCTTTTTTACGAACTTTGCGAAGTTCCATAGAGTAAAATAACAATAGCGGATACACCAGCGGTGCATTTTTTTTTTCAACATGCCTCGGCGAGATTGTTTATTTTGCGACTGACTTCACGGATTCGTCGCGAATAGAACGTAACCACTTTCAGTGGTAGGGGCGCGGCTCTTCACGCACCAAAAGTATATTATGAGCGGCGATTATGAGTTCGTGTCTCAGTTGAGGAAGTTACAGTGGTGGCGACGCACAAGTCGAGGCACAGTTTTGCGCTGCAGCGGCGGTTTTAATACGACAGCGGGAGGTGGCGGGGATAACCTGGCGCGGCAGGTAAGGTAAGACAAGGAGAGAATGGAAGTGCACGCGCATTGCGTAAATGCAGCCGAAGAAAGTTCTTCCGTGTTTGCGCGCGGTGCGACCTGGTTGCATAATACTTTCGTTGCAGCGAGACGGGAGGAAAGTGTCCCTTTCGCGGCGCTCACCGGCGTCCGTGCTCTCACCTTCTCTGCTCTCACTCCCCTTCGTCATGCCTTCCTCTTCTTCGCGTTAGGCGAGAATGCAGTCGCGCGCCCGGCCCGACAGATATTTTTCACGTTGCCGTTGCGTGCAACAGTTGGGGTATCCGCGCGACCTCGGAGAGAGAAACCATCGAGGATCTCTCGTTTTTCGATCATCGTCGCCGTCGTCGTCGTCTTCGTGGTGTGTCGAATTCGCGAACGCGAGCGCGTGCGAACGAATGCAGTCGATTACAAACAAACGCGGGTGTCGCGGGTGTGACGGATAAAATCGTTTTCCTATGACGGAGGCGCGAAACACGGCGCGACGCGAACGGATGTTGTCGGAAAATAACTCCGCGCGCGTACACAAGCGAGGACTCGGATTACAAATCGAGTTTACGGCAACAGCTGCCTCCAACAGATTCAATTACAGCTTCCGTTAAATACACGCTGACAGGCGTATGTCTGACAAGTGTGTTAAGCGGATTGCGCCCGGAGTTTTCCTCGAAGTGAGGTAGCCACTCTCCTCCGCGCCCGCGCGGGGGTGGATCTCGCCCGTATTTTCTTTACCCCGGACGCGCGCTTGCCGACTGCTTGCATCCATTCATCGACGATCTCCTTAATCATCGTTATCGATAACACATGTTAGTATTATTACTTTAATAATCAATCACACAGATAAAAAATTTGTGGTAAATTAACGCATCTTACATGTCTCAAACGGTCCAAATTTTTGTGTTAATTTAACGCGAGATGAATGTGTTAGAAAATAATACAAACATTATGTAAAAATTAACAGAAAAAATGTAACACTTTAATACAATTTGGAAACAAATTGTGGAAACATTAGTCTTCAGTAAAATTAACACTTATAACATGTAAAATTAACAAGTTTATTTATCTTTTATTCATTTATCTTAGAATTTATGGTTTAAAACTACTTTATTTTTCTGTTATATTTATTCACTTATAAATTGTGTTATTTTGACACTAACAAGTAAATATACCTTTCCGTGACTCGCAGAATTTAATGATACTTGGTATACTTCTAAAGTAGTCAAAAATAATAGACATGTATTTTTTTATATCTGTAAAGGTGTAGGTTTAAGAGTGCAAACTATCCCTCATAATGATAAACACGAGTATTTAATTTTTTGCATTTTAATTCAGTGTATTAGAGTTACTAATTACTTACTTATTCTCGCTCTTTGCCGAATTCAGAAATAATCGATGAGGAGGTGGCGAGAGTCTATTTTCATTTAATTTTTTTGTGTTTGTTTTTTATTATTTTTATATATTTTTTACATTTTTATAAATTTTTCGTATTTTCCTCACAATTGCGTCATTTTTCAGCTATATCTATTTTTTCATTTTATTGTACGTATTCTTTGAAAAAATGATATTTAAAAAAATTTTTATATGCACAAAGATTTTGTGCATATAAACACCAAGCGCACTTTATTATTGCTTTATTATTGCTATTACATATAAATGAGCAGTTAATTTCACAATTTCCGCGACGGTTATTGGTTCTCTCGCTGCGCTAACTTCATGAGCGGTTGTCATCGCGGAGATTTTGTACTGAGGTTATTGTATGTACTGAGGTTATTTATTTAATGTTGTGTCATTATTTATTTAGTGTTGTGGTAATCACATCAGCGCTTTTTGTAGTGTCTGGTGACTCTTTTTCGCGACTGATTAGTCGCTGATTTCTCTGACAAACGCCTACCATCGCCAAGATTATCTATTCCAGTCGTCTCAGATTGTGAGGGGTTAATCACAGTGTAATAATGTTGTACTACAATTTCTATTTTTAGGTTTATATATATATATATATATATATATATATGAATGTCA